TAAAAAATCATTAAAAGTTTCTCCTTTACCCTGATTTAGATTGTTGAAGACAAAACGTTCATATATGACATTTGATTTCCTTTCAAAATACGAATCAAATTTTGCAATTATATCATCCAAGCTAGTAGATTTTTCATCAATATCAAAATACTCAAAAAGAGTTCAATTCCATCTTCTCCAAGTACTGTCATAAAAGTAGATATCTGTTTCTCTAATGTTCTCTTCTTTAAATTGACAGCAGTAGCATACCACTGAAATTGTTTCCGCCATAAATTCCACTTCTTTGTCATTTCACTACCGCTGGTAACTAACAGTGGCTTTGGTGGTTTTATGTTCATTGGCAAGTCTTGATTATTCATCTCATCATTATCATAATCAATGTTGTCTGTAACCTCTCTGAATGGAGAACATTGTCTTTCTTTATTCTTATTTATGGATCTTTGTTTCGGCACCATGTTTCTTGTTTTAAAATAAAACTAAATCTTTAGATAAAGAATTCCATTTAATGAACTACAAGTTAGTTTGTTTACTAGTAAGTTTGTTTACAAAAATAATATAATAATAGTTAACAACCATATGACTTTATAGTCATATATCATGGTGTATTAGATTAAAAAACGCAGAAAACACACTGGCTACACCTTTGCTATGCCTAGTTACTTACGTATTATACTGACCACACCGATAAATCGACTTTTAATTAATATTTTAATAAATAGTTTAGGCCTCAATTAAAAAATCTTCCTAGCCTTATTTTACCACCCTTTAGTTATGTTAGGTTATAATTATTAGGTGTGGTCGGTATAATAGGTAAGTACCTATGCCCATAATCAATCAAGACTCCTCCATGCAAAGCTTCAAAAATGCACGGGTCAATTTAAGAGACCATCCTTAGAAAAGTATTTTACGGATTTAAGCCTTAGTAGTTCAATTAAAAGGACATGAGGAGTAGTAGATCTCACGTCCCAACGGTTCTTGGCAAGGTGTTTCACAAACCTGAGATAGATATTTGATGCCTTGCTCGATCTACAAAGTAGCATATTAAGATCACATGTGCGTAGAATGCTGATGCAATATTGGCCATCCCTTCTCTACTAATACACTCACGAATTTTCTATTTGGCTTATTCCAACGAACATAATTTCATTAACGATAACGGTTTTCTATCAGAACGCGATTTTTGCACAGTATTCATTTTAATCGCGTACAGCTGTTTTGATGTCCCCAACGATCCTGGTTGTTGGTACTTTCATAATTTCTTAACGTTTTGTTACACATTTGACAGAATCAATTAATAAAATATTCCTTTATATTTCAAATAGTTTTAATTAAATTCTAAATGTGTTCAAGCGCGAATTTCATGAACAATTTGTTTACAGCACGGATATACTATGATATTGCATCACGTATACAATATAATATCACATCAGGGATGCGCTATATCACCAATCACATCCGTTAAAGCCATCCATACTTGAACATGAAAATATAAAGGTGTCGTTTCTTTGAAATAGCATGGTTCTCGTGAAGTATATAAATTGTACATAAGTAAACATTATAATAAGTATGATGTATAAAATAAGTATAAAAATATGCTCTTGAGATAATCTAAGAATAATAATTATATATTTAATTAATAATACTCATTCACTATACAATTAGAGACATGTCATTTTTTCAAATCATTCTGGCTGTCTAGTTAAACATTATGAGTAGAACAACAATGAAACGTATACATTTTTTGTTTTTTTTAAGCTAAATAAAATTGCAAAAAGTGCCTGTATTTAGAATGAATTTCATGTTTATCACTGAAGCTGTAATAACTTTAATCAATAAATTATGAGCGAGGTTTTAAGCGTTCTCGTGCTGTTTAGTGATTCCTTCTGTCACATTTACCAAGATCGAATTGAATAAATAACTATAATTTATGAAATAATACTTTGCAAACTATGGAAAAGGTAACGTAAGTCGCTCACTTAGCGTAATAGATTATATTAACATTTAATTTGCAGAAAACTACTTCAATTGTGGTGTTTTGAATGTCAAAGCTTCAGTGTACAATAATATTATGCTGAATATATAATTAAAATACGATGGCATGGCAGGGTAGTCCTTAGGGTATTATAACTAATAACTAATTTAACACAATTATTTTATTTTATTCTTGTAAATTGACATAATTACATACTAATTAGCTCTAATCTATTATTGATTACTAATGTTATTTTGAGTAATAATTTGCACACCCTTATTACGTCAACCTAATGTTTAATGTTATTCACTTAACATTAAATAGCTTAATGAATTTTGCGAACAATTAAATACCCAGTTTCAACGACAAAAAAGTATGTTACATCAAACTGAATCTGAACTCGTCGATATTCAGTTTCTGGTGTTGAGCTTTCCAATGCAATAAGTTTGAAGTTGAAAATCCTAATAAGATTTGGCCACCAGAGACAGTTTTATTTCTGTTGTTTTTACTATATTTCTACAGGGTGTTCAAAAAAGGTGGGGAAATATTTTAACTAGTGATTTATTGAGTCAAAATATAGAGCAAATCAAGAATAACATTTTTTTCCAAAATCGCTTCGTTAACCAGATATACGCCATTTTATTTTTTTACATAAACATTTTTATCTTTTAATATTTTTAACCGATTTTTATGAAACTTGGTATGTATGTGAAGGTAGAAGATACCCATGTTAGAAAAAAAGTTTATCTCGATTCAACCTAAAATTTCAAAATGGCGGCCATTTAAATTTTTCAACTTAAATTACTCGAAAATGGCTGGTTTTATGAGAAAATGTCAACAACACTTTTATTTGGCATTTTTATTCATTTATCAAACGATACCAAGTTCAAAAAGATCGAATGAGAAACAGCTGAAATATTATGACTTTTAGTTGTAAAATGGGGCAAACTTGACTAGCTTCTGCCTTATTCTACCCCATTTTACAACTTAAACTCGAAATATTTCAGCCATTAAGTTTTAGACTCTTTATCGTTGAATATCTACTTCACAACGTATGATGGTTTCATAGTTATAGAATACTCAGATAAATATAAATATAAAGTAATATAAATATTTTATTACTCACACTACTGTAGTTAGTTTAACATTTTTTATTTTTTTTAACATTTTGCTAGGAAAAGTAAATTTAGAGCGAGAATACTTTCTTTGGTATCAGATGTTATCGAAAATAGCATCTTTCAGTACGGAGTGGTAAAAATATATATCCAGCAAAGGCAGGTGGTCAAGTAAGAGGAAAAATACCATAGTATAAAAGTTGTAGCTTTAATCTGAGTTTAATGTCAGGAAGGTTCCCAGTTCCCACATATGCAAGCTATTTTAAATTGATTTACACATCATTACAAACTAATGTTGCATATAATTTTGAGATAGACTGCCATAAAACTTGACTTGTAATCTAGTTTAAACACAATCTAGACTGCACTCTGATCCTTCTGTGCCCTCGCATTGTACTTCTTACTGAACATTAGTTAGATTTGAAATGATTTCTTAGTGGTAAACAGGGTGATTAAATACTTTATAAGCATTAATTAAACCATTAATATTATTTATTATTTGATATTTTGTTCTAAATAGTTGTAAGCTGTTAATTAAAAGCTGATAAAATTATTTTCATATACAGATGTTGTTTCTTACCATTCGTATAAAGTATTTTATAAGCTTTGTTATAATTAAATTTAATGAGTATAAATTCTTTGAAAATCACTTTTTATCAAATAATATAAAGTGCTGATCCGCGTTCTCTGAGTATAATTTTCTTAAAAAATCGTGTGCTATGGCAACAATAATGGTTTGTTTCTACGGTAAAAGGTTTTCATGTACGAAATGGCTGTTACGAAACCGAGTTATGATTTATTTATATTACAATTCGTTAAATTTTGTTTATTATGTAGCCGATTAAATAACGTATGCTTTTTCGTTATAAATAACGTATGGTTTTTTTTATGAAAATTAAGTGTTAAATTTGTAATATCAACTAAAAATACAAGTTCTAAACAAACATTTTATATTTTATTTTTATTGCAGATGTCAGGCGCAGTGGTTTTTAAGAGTCCCGAGAGACTTGTAAACAGTTAAATGACCGTATCCTAAATCCCTTGACGGTTAAAAATTTATTATTGAAGCATGCGATTGTAGTTTTTTTAGCAAGTGATTTTCCCCATGTCTCGTTCAATTAATTTCAACCCACTGAACCCATTAGAAATATACGCGAAAATAACGTACTATAGCCTAAGTCGTATAAATTTTACAATTACTAGATAACTAACAGTTTTTTTGGGTTATTTTTACTTTGTAATATTTTCAGTTCATTTTTATTTTAATTAATATCTTTTTCAAAATCCTGATCCATGGAAACATTTCTTGCACGATCTGCATATTCGATAGCACAAAGCTGTGGTTTCCTCAGCTCAGATGAATACAAGGGCTTTAATGTAGCTCTATCTCTCGAATTATCTTAACATTTAAGTTGTGTATTAAACAACTAAAAAGGTACATGAAAAACTAATACTGATTTTAAGGGCTGTAGTGAACTTGAAAGATCGTGTGCCGATTCTATTTGCGGGTATTTTTCAACAGATATTGTGTTCAAAGGTAAAAACAATCCTAAAATAATTTACTTTAGAGTGGTAGGCAATCAATAAACATAAAGCACGTGCATTTATAATAAAAATATTGTTAACTATTTCAACCATATACCTAAATAAATATCTAAGGATTTTATTATTTAATTGTCGTAAATGGCTCTTAATATTAATATTGATCTTATGTGACTCAAAGTACTACTGAGGGTCATAATTTAAATTCTGTTAAATAAGGTAATAACAGTCTTGACTAAACAACTAAGTTGTTTGTAAGTGAAAGACTAAAAAGATTCATGATAAGTATTTATATTAGCATTGAATTGTTTCTGTCAGCAAAGCTCTGGTACGAGGTAGTATGGGTATTTATATTTCTTGACGTTGTCCAGGAAAGTCCACGGGTCTAGTGACCAATACCCGGGTGTCCCATGCGACACCGGCAGCCCTGTATGCTCACTCGGCCAGCAGATACTGGGAGGACGACAGCAAGATTCCTCCTAGGACAAGGAAAACTTGCAAGGACATCACCAGACAACTGATAGAGGACAAACCCGGAGTCAATATGAATGTGAGTAAAACTCCTAATAGTGAATACTGTATGAACAGTTTTGATGACTTTCAGTGAATTCCCCTATAGGGAACTTAATCTTTGTAAAGGATTAAGTGTTCCTCGTGCCATTCGTAGGTGGCACGGTAAGACCTAGGTCCGAGACCGATTTACTTTTTTTTCATTTTGATGTCCCTAGAGGTAAACGTGATAACTCGAGTAATTTTGGTCCAATTTCGATTGAATTTGGCTTAAAGGTGTAGGGCTGGATAAACTTAAATGACTTCGAAAACCAGCAAGATCAGGTAATGGGACTTGGGGTATTCTGGAGTTAAAAATGGTCGAAAATAGGATTTTCAAATGTTACCCTTAAAACTTTAAAATGCCCAATTTCATTGCAGACATCCTTTAGAGCTTGAAAAACATTTTTGTAAATTGAAGCGTTGATGTAAAATCAAACGGTGCAGAGAAAATTTCAAAAAAACTTTAATTTTTAGGGAAAAATTACAATTTTGCAATTTACTTATTATTGGATCAAGCTTGTTGCAAAATCTTTCAAGGTTGTTGTTGATCAGATTTGGCAAATGTATTTATTTCATCCTATACTGTTAACATTTTTAGGTAACACTCTTCACCTTCTCTGTGGCAGTAAACCTAGGTACTTATCAAATCTATTTAAATGGGGAATAAATGTGTCTTGTTTATGGAAATATCTTAGTAAAAATCGTACCAGACCAATTTAAATTCACTTAGTCTGCAGCTTTACGGTAGTGGGAGTATTTCTTTATGATAAAGGGTTAAAACGGATGGACCAGGTGGATAAATCAGACTGTATACACCAACATACCTCTTTTATTCCCCTAACTAAAGACATCTGTTAGAGGTGTCTAATTTCCGTTACGATGTTATATAATATTCCTACTCTTTGCTTCTTGTACATGGATGAGTGTGACACCACTCTGTTGGCATAGCCAGTCAGTAAAAGGGATTATTCTCATTGTAATTAAATCCATCACAAAAACAAAACCCTTGAAAGAGGAATATGTTACTTGGTTACAATAACGTCACAAAATGTGCTTGAGGATGCCACGATCAGTGCGACTTGTTATTCTTTCTTAAGGTCTTGGATATATTAAATTAAAATGTTTCTTGATGTGTAAGACACCACAGCTCCGGGATTTGGGCAAAACTGAATGAGTCATCAACTGTGAGAGTCAAACCCCTTTAAGGACAAGAAATTGAGCTAGAATTCATTTCCTACTACTGGAACGTCAGATATTAATAAATATAATTTTTTACTTTATAGTTTTCCTATATGCTGCTAATTTTTGACGTACTTCGTCAAGACACTGTCTTCTTCAGGCATCCACTATAGCTTCGTCATAAATAATAACATGAAACAGTCACTACATACCATTTAGACAAAAAACTGCCTTTGACAAATATGTATTGTCGTCACGGTGACTATATCTCACGTACACACGTACGTATTTTATAACAATCAAGATTATATTGTTGGTATATACACGATTAATTCAGGGCGACTATTGCAGGATGCAAGAGCGTTTATGTGGTGTAGTTTACACCCGTCACGTCATTGCTCTTTTTCAGGCGTATCACAGTGTCGAAGAATAGATTTCCTTAAGTGTTTACTTTGTCATTCATTACATTAACAGGTACACACTGTAATGCCTTATATATCTCATAAGACTTAAATGAACATTAAATAGTTTTTCTTGCACTTATGTAATACTTGCAAATTATTTAAAATTGAACTGTAACTGTCCACATTGCATGAGATGTTCCATACATTTCGACTATTGGGTGGTGGCTTTCTTGGGGAGACGCTCCTTAAAGTGGATTTTGAATGATCTTCCTGTTTGTCCTTTTTAGGATTTTGGAAGATTATTAAATTTAATTTGTAAATCCCACTGCTGTTTATCTTGTCACCATTACCTTCTGTCCTGGGGTTAATTAAAGTAATTTTAAGACAACGACTGCGGAAAAGGGAATACATAGCATAGCGTAAAGTACGATGGTTGAAAGAGCTCAAAATGTCGACTTTTGCCCTTTTTCATGATGACTTTAAGATATGAACATCATATTTATGTCCGTTATATATTCATGTGTATATTCAATCATCATATCCGTTGGTGCGATTAAAAAAAGGTTTGTAAACCTTTCCAACAAATACGTCAGAATAAATTATTTAGCACAATAAGATTAATACTTTCGTTGGTACCACCTCTAACTATAGATATTGTACAGTTAAGTAGAAATAACTTTGTGAAAATTGTTAAAACTTTGCAATAAAAACATCTTAGCTCAATTGCCACTAGGCTGCTTTAAAGTATGGTTTTCTTTCTAATAAACTAACTACACACATAGGGCCTAGGTTAAATATCAGTTAATATAATTTAGTTAGCACTATTAAAACAACTTAAAACCAGCTTAAAACAAATTATTGTTAGCTATTGCATCTTTTATGACCTCATCAGCTGTCGTAGTTTGGAAAACTGAAAGAAGAAATGAAACTTTTAAGAGTAGCAAACTCTACGAGAGGGTAATTCAAATATGTCCTCCGTGAGTTTTTACACTGAGTCGCTTATCAGCTAAGAACACACACTGTTACTTGCAATTATGATATGACTTTCTCTTTATTTCTTACATACCACGCAAACTTATTATCTTTGGTGCCCTATCCTGTTGCCGATATCAAAATTTAATTTTCGTAATATATTCTAAACTCCTAAACAACAATTTAATGCTACATTTCCCTCATTGTATCAATAAACAATTTTGATCTGAGATGAGCAAAAAAGCTACAGTTGGTACATAGAAATTGTATGTCTACTTTGGTATCAATAGTACCCAACTAAAAGTGAGAATAAAGTTTAAAAAAAATCTTAAACGGTTGTTACAATTTCACAGTTATAGTATTCATTACATGCAGTTTAACAGACAAATAGGGAGGTTTTTAAATCCCTAATCAATTTCATTCATACTCTTTAATTACTTCAAAAGTAATTATAATGAGTTAACGTGGACGAAATGTCATGTTTAAATTAGGCGGATATTAAAATTGCGCCAACTGACCTGAGTCAGGTAGTCGGGTATTCCTAAATTGCGCAAACTACTACAGGGAGCCACCCGATACGTTCATTAACTGCATCAAGTGGCAGCCCTCTTTGACTGTATAATTGAGTAGGTTAGGTTTGGTTTGGTTTGGATAGGTTAGCCATTTTTTACTAAGTTAGCTAAGGTTAGGTTAGGTTACGATAGGTTAGTACGACAGGTAAACATTCTTTCTACCAGGAACTCAACCTTACATTGGTCTTGGCGCAACTAAGGAGCATTTTTTGGGACCCTTTGAGGGCTTTGCGCAATTAAGGAACTCTTTGTCGCAATTAATACGCGACCTTTAAATTTGTTCCTCCCTTTGCTATGTGATCAAATAGTAACCACAGGTTAACAGCTTTAATGCAATAAATAATCGTAATATTGTGATCACAATAATTCAAATGATAGTAAGAATACAATTTCAAACTATCGTGAGAAATATTTATTTGTGTATACCACACATTTGCTCATTCCAATTTATAAATGGTTCCATGTGATCAAACAGTCAACGTAATTGAGGAAATTTTCCATAATGATAAGGCAAAAGGGAAGTTGTTTTACAAGACGAAATAAATCTCTATAAGTGCTCCATTACGGTTCGCCAGCCATCAAATTGATATTTGATTTCTGGTCTTGCATGCAGAAACACTGCTCCGATTTGTACAGCAGTTCTCAATCTTAACCATTCCGAGTTTTTATTGAGTTTTGATTTTGGACCCGAGTAATTAGACACCGAGTTGAGAAACGCTCCTTGGTTGCTATTCCAATTAAATTCGAAAACAACAAAGGATTTTGTCCTTGACGATATTGTTGTGTTTTCCTTGTCGACCAAATTAGAGATATTTTCAGTTGTCAAGCTAGGGAAGGATTTAGTTTAAGATATTAATGGAAGTTTTATTTTTAAGGCATTTACGAATCTGTTTGAGTAAATAGATAAAACCATTTTAATTAGTAACTCAATATTATCTGTTCAATATTTAATGTTGAGTCAGTTTTATACGTCACAAAAATTATAATAATAGTTTTCATCAAGTCACAAATTAGGTCACCTTTTCACCTATAACATTTTGGGTTAAAAGATTAAACATAGATTATTATTTATCTAAACGTGCCTTTTAAACTTAGATATCAATTTTTGTAGGCATTTTGCTTGCGTCCGAAAGTATAAATCACTTGATACATACCTTCTTATCCAGAAGATTTTTTAGTCATTTGGGTTCGATAAGATGTGTAAGTTTATACAGGGTATAAATAAAGTCCCGCACGGGTTTAATATGTGCCGAATGATAACAGACAAATCAATAAGATTTGGTACATCAACATGACAGCTAAAAAGCTACTTTTTGAATCAACTATCAGTTTTCTGTAATATCATGGGGACGTCCCGCCAAGAGTCAGAAGGAAATCTTAAATAGTAGTATAGGTTGATATGTACATCGAATTAAGGACTTTTACTAGCATAATTCAATGCCGCGAGTTTGAACTGAAACGGACAACTGAGTCAAAAATGACAGCCATTCAAATATTTTTGAATCTGTCATTTTGAATTTTTGAACGGCTGCCATTTTTTACTCAGTTGTTCTTTTAAGCTCTCATTCGTGGCATTGTAGTCTACAAATAAAGTTTAATTTGATGTGCACATAGACCTATATTTATGTTCACAATTTTCATCCGATTCCTAGCCGCTTGCCCCCCTTAAGAGGTCACCTATAATAGCATAGCAAATTCAATGAATCTATGAACAGCTGTCATTTTTGACTCGTAATTAATGTGGCTGTTCACTCCATTGGAACAACATTTTGTCTCAAAATGAAACACCTTCGCCTTTAGTCTATCCACACAGTAATTCATACAAAGTATAAACAATTCTAAATCTTTCCGTTGAATATTTATATATTTAATATAACATAACTACTACATGTTAATGATGGAAATTGCAAAAAAATATTTATTTTACATTAATGTTTACCTACGATAATCGTTCACACAAACCAATAAATTAAAATGAAATGTTGAGTTGTAAGTAATTTCATCCTGATGAAATGTATTAAAATGTTAAATAAAACATAAAGGCTCGTTCATTTAGTTTAACTTTTCAATCAATTAATTTAGAAGCTCATCGTGATGTTATCGTCAAAGGTTACCATTTATTCAAAAGCACGCTCAAGTAATCAACTAGCTTTGTATTTAAAATGGTATTTTGATACTAAATGGGATTTCAAACTAAACAGTAATTGTGATCAGGAAATTTAAAATTAATTCCAATCCTTCATTTTCGCAATAGTAAAATCTACATGGATAAAAGGTAACATTACAATTCCACTTAAAACTGAACTGTGTAGCTGAACTAGGCTATATAGCAATCAGTCTTTAGAAATAGTACATACATTTGGCAATATAACTATGCACATAATATTAGCGTTTACATAAAACTTTTAGTTTGCCCGATAAGTACATGACAAATACGTGTTAATATCTCCAAACAATACAATTATTTATTTCGTAAAGTGCATAATTTCCTATTTACTTTATGTTTAACGTGTTATCAAAGGTTTCCACGGAGTTCATGGAAAGTCTCACATTATAATTGGTTTCATGAAAACATTGAACTATTTTAAAACAAAACACTATGAACTTAGAGAGTTCCCATAACGTCAACATTGACGTTGACGAGTTCTTGAATATGATCGTACAGAGCTATTTGCTCTTGAAGATTTTGGTCTATACGTATCGCTATATTACTTTATTGTAACATTCACTTTAGGTACTGTACATTGTTTAAGATCGTTCTAGTTTGAATTAGAGTGATCCGACTGAACCATGATTGAATAAATTACAATATTTAATTTCAAACAGGCAAAGTTACCTGGACAGATATGTCATAAATACAGTATCTACACTTCTACGAAAAACTTGACAACAGACTGACTCGCACACTCAGCAACAAAACTAGCTCAAAAATAATCTTAGAGAGCTCCTCATGAAACCATGTGCTCTAAGTATATCTTTTTGAGTACTACCACAAACAACTGAGCTCTGAGGTGACGATCGAATATTTGTGTGTATTATTCCAAAGACAGCAGGCAGTTACAACAAAAGCTCTGTCCTTTACTGTACTATTTACTACTTTACTGCACTAGGCTACTACTACTTTACAGTACTGTACTTTCCTCCTACAATGAGGCATGTGCAGTATATTAGCTTCCCAAACAACCTTCAGGTACAAAGCTAAGGTCTTATAAAATGTTGGTACTAGTATTAATCTATTCTGTGAGATAAGCATGCCGAAAATGATCTTAACATTTTATAATTTATTTTATGCTTTTTATTTAACATGCTCTAAGTGCAATGCATCGTTAGAAGACCCCAATAACCCTGTAAGCAGTGTAGTATAGCGACATTTACAGGCATTATTTTGATCACGTTGTATGAAGTAAAAGGATGCAAGAAAAATATCAAGGCGAAACTTAACATGCATCGGCAAGGGAGTTTGTAAATCTTTTAGAGAACGCTTTGCTGGAATAGTATATATTACGTTACTAGTCCTGAAAATAAGTGTTTACCGGACGAGTGTGGTCGTTCCCGTGCGAGACGAAGTCGAGTACGGGATTACCATACGAGTCCGGTACACACATTTTGGACGAGACGAACGATATTTTATGCCATACTACTTTAAGAAGCTCACTTAAAAATAAAAAATCTCTACAAATCATTATTCCCAATGACTAACAATCACTACTCATATCCTCTAAGAGAGGTTATGTTTTTGTTTATAATCACTCATTGCCAAATATAGCTATTTGGTGTCCGGTAAAAGCTCATTACGGTACAATACAGTGTAGTACGTAATGAACCCCCATTTGATTAAGCTGGCGGCAAACAGCTGTCTTCCGGACGAAATCCTTGCGTGGAAAGTTCGTTATAACAGTGTAGTGTGGCGTAAAATATTTTACAAACATCTATCACTTCATCATTACGTAATTATTGAGGTAAGAATACAGTAGTATATTTCATTACTTTTATCGAAAGTGCACGCATCCTGTGCACGCTCAAGTTTCATGTAAGAGGCAAAGCCGAATACAGGAACTCCAAATATCACGTACGAGGAGAAATTTGGAGGACGGGAATAGTTGGAGCAAGTGTCGGAAAATTACTTTTGGTACTTTTCATCTTGACGCAAAAAACCATGTATACATACATGAACACTGAACAGACACATATAAGTTGTCCTTATTAGCATTATCTTAGTATAAAAATAAAAGCTAAAAGACTATGGCGTAACGAGATCAAAACTGCCCAAATTCATGGTTATATTCACTATGCAGGAAACATGTGTCGAAAAAAAATATTTATTTAAAAATGAGTTGATTTTATTTGTTCAGGTGATTTTGGGTGGTGGCAGAAGACACTGGCTGCCCAAAGTCGCTAGGGACCCTGAGCAGACACTGGAAGAGGGTCGTCGTCTGGACGGCAGAAACCTGATAGACGATTGGCTCAGGGACAAAAAGAAGAAGAATCAGAGAGCAGAGTACGTCTGGAACAAACAGCAGTTGGACGCAGTAAGCGTTGCGTCCGTCGACTACCTGCTAGGTATCGTTACAATTACATGTTATGCATAGTTATTTGTGTATTAAGAGCGCAATAACTGTTTGTGCTCGTAATACACACAAGTTTTTTCCTTACCACCATAGTTAACTTATATTAACACACAGATAGATTATCTGTAGGTAGATTATCTGATTAGGTTATTAGATGTATCTAAAATGCCATTTAGGTTATGTTTGCTTTTTTAAAGGTAATGTTATTTCTTACCGGTTGTTAACTAACGTACCGGATCCACGACTGTAGTTGGTGTAGAAACGCCAACAGTAAAATCAGCTGACTAGCAAGCGGGAATTATGTATTCCCGCACTAGAGCGTAAATGAGCTATTTTGCGTACTGTTTACAGGTGTGGTAATGTGATAGTTTCTTTGTGGCGGTAGGAAAAATCTATTTTTACTTTTTCCCCTAGTATATGGAGAAAGTATGGTTTTCGTAAAAACTCGAGTTTGAGTTTTGGGTGGAAGTCTTTTGTCCTGGTTTTTGGTCCTCCTAAACCAGAAATTTTTTAATTGTATAATTTTTATTTGCAGAAAATTAGATTTCAGATTCGACATTGATCAAAAAGTATTAAAATAACATTTGACGAGTCTCGTCTACTATTATTACTCAAAAGACACAAACCACAAATTACAGTAAGTAAAATATTACTTACATTTATTTAGGTGTGAAATCACAATATCTCAAACTTTGTACATTTACTCATAAGATATATATGATTCCTAATTATGAAGTACTATAAATTGTTTAAGAACAATAGTACATCAGTGCTGTATAGAACTTTGCAAAGATATTATTCGTGAGGACAGCCATATGATACGACTGCAAGCTAGACAATATAGTACTACACAATACTGTAATGTCATAAACTATTGCTCTTGTGCTTTATTACCAAGGAGTTAACAGTCAAACTTTGGACCATTGAAATGTGCCAGGGTTTATAGAATGAATTTACCTTTGTAGGTGTTGGTAACATTTATAGTTGAGAATTCCTCTTTGCTTTAACTGACTTATTTTAGTGAATACATATAAACCATGTTAAGCATGATATTAACATATTTATAAGGTATCACAGGATGAGTAGTTATTCCTCCGTTCGTATACAGCTTGTATGAAAACTATCAAAATAATATTTTTCCTTATACAACCATACAGATTCAATAAAATATTATAAAATTAAGAGTCTTCTGACACTATTCAAGTAATATACATTTCAAAGACAGTAAATACATATACAATGGCGATAGAATCAGACCCCCGCCGTTATCATCATCAGGCCTAAATGGAGACTGACATAATCAAATCGGTATCGCCTTAATACTATTTGTTTTCGTGACAAATTCTGAATCGAAGTCGACTTTTTTCATTCATCAATGACAATCAAGGCAAAATGTTATCATCACATATGACGTAGGGCTAATTTTCCCCCGCATTTTTTCCCGGACGCTAGGCACGAGCCCAGAATTGTTTTCTACATTATTTCAGGCTTAACCTAGGGGTTGTGGCATTATCACTTAGATCCATTGGGGATTTGGTGGGATTTGAACTCGGGTCATCTGGAATTGAAGTCCTACGCTGTAACCACTAGACCAGCTCGCTCCCCAGGGAATGACCTGACGATGTATCACGTTGGGCAGACGACGTCATTGTATGTAACATAGAACGGATGTCGTCATAAGTTATGACGTAAGACTGATTACATCGTGATGTGTGACGTTAGACTGATGACGAAGTGTGACGTAGGGATGAATTACGTCATGCAGTGTGACGTAGGGATGAATTACGTCATGAAGTGTGACGTAGGGATGAGTTACGTCATGAAGTGTGACGTAGGGATGAATTACGTCATGCAGTGTGATGTAGGGATGAATTACGTCATGCAGTGTGACGTAGGGATGAATTACGTCATGCAGTGTGACGTAGGGATGAATTACGTCATGCAGTGTGACGTAGGGATGAATTACGCCATGCAGTGTGACGTAGGGATGAACGTAGTCATGATGTGTGGCTTACGATGGATAACATATGATGTGTGGCTTTATGTGTGATGTAGGACGGATGACGTCATGAGGTGTACCATATGATAAATTATGTGTAGGCCCTACTTTTTATTTTAGTAAAAAACGATTTTTACTTAGTTGCAATCTCGTATCGAGAGCAACGTTTGATCGGTCTCCCCATTTTTCCTAAAATAAGAGAAAAGTCAATTAATTATTAATACATTTAATCCAAATTAAGAATGTTTATAGATGTATTAAAACGTTCTCGATTTTCTAGCACCTAAAAGTCACTTATACTCACTCTTTAATTGTCCTATTATAACTTCTGTTAAGCGGTCGTTGGGAGGAATTGTAAAAATGTTATTTCAGAACTTTGAATGTGTAACAGGTAAATAGCTAGACGGTGATTATCCTTAGGAATACATCAATAAAGAAGCGTTGTTGAATAAATAATTGTCTTTAACAAGGAAAGGATGTCCCTTGCCAGAATTCTATTGGAAAGGTTAAACGTAGTTATCCATTAAACAACATCATCATGTTATCCAATATTTTATTCAGAACAAATCAAGGAATATATAATTAGTAAATATCATGAACTTACCATATTCTGCAGTATCAGGAGTCTCGACGAATTGGAAAGAATTGTAGAAAAAACACATTTTCTGACTTTGTTGACATATTTTGTTTTAAAACTAACATTAGGAACTTCAATTGACAACTAAAATAAGCACAATTTTATGATCAAACAATGGTATAAAACACTTATAGTTTCAATGTAACAAAGAGTATCTGATAGACAAAAAACAAATTATGCACATGGGCTAAAAGAATCACCGCATCTTGGCTAAATATTGTCTAGATTAGTCTTTTTATATAATAACGTATAATCTATTAGTCTTTTTATTTAATACTACTATTTTTTTATATAAGAGTTTAGTTTTTTATTGTTTATTTACTTTATATATACTTAGACATAAAAATAATAATAAAAATGGTATTTCAAACTATTATACACCATTGTAAAGCCCTTTAAATAAGGAAGTTTTTAGTAATATTTGATAACCTCACCGGAACTCGGCAACCTAGAAACAAAGCTCTGAATGTTATTTACATTTTCGTCAATATAAAAATTATTTGTTTAACGAAGAAATTTAAATAGAATATGTTTCCGTACCCCAAAGATTATGTGCTATATATATATATTTAAAAAATTTTGAGGATTCTGCAAATTACATTGAAAATTTACAGTAAGTTCATTTTAGCAGAGTAATATAACCTTTTTCATAACAACTACAATATTTTTTTTTTATATTTATTTATTTGTCATTCTCTAACTGTTGAAGTTGGGAACCTCGAATTTGCGATATTCTGTCACCATTACCATGTAGTTTCATGCAAAATTGTATTTAACACTTATGACCGGACACCCTGTATTATACTAAAGTACTGCGATATACCTCTGGATAGAGGCTTAAGCTTTTTAAAACAGTAAAAATAGTCTCATCGACCTCCACTACAACTGATTCTTTTTCGCACTAAGTAGAAATTGCAACATATGTATTGAAAACAGTCACTGCAGTATGACGAAAAAGAGTCAGCTGGAAAAGACATCAGCTATACATTATTCAGACTTTAAAATTCGCTCGATTGGTAAAATATGATAACAAGGTTATCCAAATGTTTATGCAAGATATCGTGTCACCTTGCAAGTTTCACCACAATGATCTTGCCATTTAGACAAAGTAAAAGTATTTTATCATTTTTTGAAGAGAAATTCATGTTGGTTCTACATACTGTTCATGATCAATATAGAAATTAGACGGAAATAATGTTTGTAACAAATATTTAGATGTAAAAAATATACACATTTATATTTACAATTTCGTGATACATCTCAGCTTCACCTTGGTCGTGGGCTTTCAGCTATCCATTAATGAAATAATGAATTAATGAATTTAATCCTATTGATGAAATATGTTGTTTTGTTTGTAATTTATTTACATCAATGTATCTGCTTTCTTTCATAAAATTTAATAAGTTTGCCTGGAAATAAGAGTTCACAACTTACCGCTGAAACCTTTATTTAAATTATCACGTTACCTCAAAACCTTTCAATACCGACTAATTTGTCATTTTAATGTATGGACAATATACTATGTTAAAACTTTTAGAGTATGCAAACGTGCATTTTATTGCTGTCCTACTCCCTAGTATTATTAATGGCCAAGGGGATGCAGAAATGTATGAGGAGTGGCTATGACTTGGTGACCCAATGTTTGCATATGCATGTCTGGTAGTCAGTAATTTATAAACGTCTGAAACTATTGTTTCAAACACCGAGTACATTCCTCTTGGCTATTACATGCTTCGAGTTCAAATACAGCTCCCATTTGCTTGGCAGTATGTTTGCAGTAAACATTAGTTTTAGACTAGCGTCTACACTGTGATGTAACTTCTGTATTTGCTTGAGTAATTTATTGTATTCTATTTAAATAATATATAGGGTGTTTTATATGAATTTACTATGTTGAAGGTGCATTGCATGTATAAGAATATTATATACTCTTTTTTTAATTTGCTCGCTATTTTGTACATTCTAGTGGTGTTAATGCCCCAAAAAACTAACTTTTAGTTTGTCATGGATTTATTGTTTATGGTTGTTTGGTAGATGTGTTGGCGACATTTCCAAATGTTTGTGGTTCTTTTAAACTTCGTGTGTGTCTTAAAATTTCCTTTAACGTTTTAGGAAGATTTCCCCTCTCTGGCGTTTGTTTATTATTGATATAAATTTGATAAATTGATCTACATTTGCAAACGACAGTGTGAACACAACTGCTGAAAGAAAATAATGTTTGTTGTATGGTAACAGCAACCCAACAGATGTTATTTGTATCATATTTATTTAGTTTTTTTTTTAGGTAAACCTATTTGTCCATGTTAGATTTACCAATAGTAATTTTTCAGTTTAGATCAGCTGTTTTATTCAAGTT